GAGTGCGGATGCTTCAATATCCTCTTTACTAGTAAGGGGACTTACATACAATGTCAGTGTAATAAGAGATCGATTTTATTAAATTAATTTAGATTATCTACTGTATTTTAAAACTTTAAGGGTGAGTTGCACCATATCGCCGGTTACCGTTAAAGTTAAAATTATTTGTAACGGTAATATTTGGAATAACCTTAAAATTTACTAAGGGTGAGTTACATTAGCTAACTATAAACCTTAACCAGCACATTCCCGATTGTTACGTCTTCGGATGTTCATGATATTCGCTACACCAGTTTTGCGCTGGTCAAAATGACGTCATATTTGACACTTATCATAACCGCCCGATTTTGGGCGGTTATAGTTAGCGTTACGGTTAGTGTCAGTTCGGTAGTGTCAACTGTCACAAGCTCTTATCTTCAAAAGTACAAATAATGGAAAAGTAATGGAAAAAGAAAATCTCTACTATTATCATATACGTAATCCAGAAGAATAAAGTCTTGCGTGCTCGGAAATAATGGATTTCCAAGATGGAACTCGAAATTTGGCCAAACATTCAGTTTGGACAAATTTCGAGTGTCTAAGGCCATAGCAACAGCGCTTTTTTCTCTTATTTAAAAAAATGTCCTCCATAAAAGGACAATTTACAATATGCATTGAGAGGACAATTTATAATATGGAAAATAAATAAGATGCATTTATATTTGTATAATTTTATTGCTTCATTTTTGCTACATATTTGAGTAGTAAAGTAAATACAGTTTCAATAATGGCCCAAACTAGTTTATTTTCACAAGAGTTTGCCATTTTCTCCATCTCCGTGGGCAAAAAGTTTATGTCACTATAAAATACCATGCGATGATACATAAATATGTACGGCGAAACATGAATTTCCAAACATTTTAATTTACGTAAATGTCATTCTTGACACCAACTTGACACTTTAGTGACATTCAGGTTTAAATGTTTCCATTGTAAAAACGAAAAACACATAAAACCTCTGTGAGAATATGTTTTTGCACTTGTAACCCTATTAACTATAACTATAACTTTTACGATAACCGGCGATTCGATGCAACTCACCCTAAGTAGTAAAACAAAACATAACGTAATAAAAATCATTGCGATTAAAATAAAAACTGCTCGCTGTACAAAGTCTTGACAAAAAATAATTTAGAATAATCTGTCTGGTTTATAAAGCTTTTATTCTAAGAAAACATATGAATATCGATGAATAGATCATGAATTTCTTGAAATCCTATTAACCATTAAAAAACGTAGCATGTTCCAAAAATAAAAAGTGGTATAATAACGTATGTACTTCTTTAAATTCATTGCAACTGCATTGAGTGCGAACTATTTCAGTCCATCGACAAATACACCCTGTAAAGTGTCATTAATCAGAAGACGCACTCTCCAAGTGGAACAAGCATCAGCACAAAATGCCCATTGTAAATTTTGTGTACGCAGTATACGCACTTAAGATAAGGACCTATCGGCCACTGTCCCGTACTTGAGACTTACGTAGGTATTTTACGCATACATTTTATTACCATATCATGTATGACCGCTTAAATCTTAGTAATATTATAAACTAGCCTTCGCCCACGACTCCGTCCGCGTATAATAAAAAAAAACAAAAGTGAGTAACCTATGTGTTCTTTCAGACTATCGTCGACATCTATGCCAAATTTCATCGAAATTCGTAAGGCTACAAACTCTAAAAAAACATTAGTAATAGTATGACTAGTATGAAATATGACTCAAAAGTTCAGAAGGATGGATGTTTGTTAAAGTTTGTAGCCTAATCGGATGACCGGATCTGGATAAAATTTGGCATAGATGTAGAGCGTGGTTTAGAGTAACACATAGGCTTATTACTTTTGTTTTTATTACCATGTAGAAGGAGTCGCGGGCAAAAGCTAGTATACACATATTTGTAAATGTCATAGCTGCCAATATCCGGATCTACCTAATCTATTTTTTAAATATTTGATGTAATAAAATTAATATCCTATGATAAAGACTCTCCCAAATGCAATTAACGACTTTAATATACTTTTTTACTACTAACACTATCTATTTTCTATTATTAATGTTGAATAAATAGTAGATAACGTACTTATAAATACTACGGTTACAAACTTTCATGGCCAACAGATAAATAGATGACGTCAGATGAAAATTTTCTCCTTAAGTTAGGATTTTCTATGATTTATCACCGGCTTCCCTCGGTGCGGCTTTCTGTTACACCGACCTACGCTGACTTAAATAAATCGAAACCTATTAAACTACTGTAGAACTGTGTAATAGGATGACCAAAGTTTGGACAAACGGTTGTACAATTTTTTAAAATAACTAATGATACGAGTGCAGAATAGCTTGTCAAAATAGGACTCAAATATAAGGGGTGTTAGTGGTTCTAAAGATGTGGGAGACATTTCTATGTCACCTTTATTTTACCATGCTATTGCTGTAAACAGGCTTATATTGAACTATGTAAATTGCTGTATTTTGCTGCCTTCTCTGTCGAGCGTCCTGGGCAGTGGACTAACCGCTTCCAGCCTAACGCCGCCACTGTATTAAGGAGGTCTTTATGATTCCCAGCTAAATTAACAACTTTAGTTGTGTGCCTATACTCGTATTGTAATGCCTCAACTTGACGTTGTCGTCGCAAAATTCAATAAGATAATCGACTAGCTGTTGCCCGTGATGTCGTCAACGCAATATTAAGATAAAAAAGTAGCTTTTAATATGCTCGTCTATGACAGCTACCTTTCTGTTAAAGTCCGGTAAAAATCTGCCCAGACGTTTCGGAGATTATTCGGAACAAGCTCGGCTTGCGGACAGAAAGACAGACAATCTTAAATGCGATTTTCGTTATCAACAACGCAAATACATCATCTTCCCGAAATCTGGAATTTTTCTTTCGATATTACAAACAGACATTCCAATTTTATTATATGTATAGATGTATAGTTATAGAAGATAACTAACGGTGCATAAAATGTTCTACATATTGATTTTGTTGATGTAAACCAGTACGTAAAACTCGTTCGGAAGCACGCATACAAGACTTGTGCATTGGTTAATGCTCACATTTTATTACTGATAGCTTTATTGCTTCTACCCACACATCGTTTCCCATTCAATGCACCTAATAAATAACCTATAAAATATCTGATCCCTTACAGGTTGGGACTTTTGTAATTAAATTTTATTACATTTAAGTAAAATAAATGACTCAGTAAATGTCTTTAGATAAAGAAAATTCCATTTTGAATGTAAATTTTAAGATAAACAAAATTTTAATCAAAAATACCTCACAACTCAGTGGATATAACCACTATGGCTATTAATATGGTCTACTCATGGATCTGTTTTACAATTGTATAAGAGTTTGAATCTAAAGGCTTCTAATCCTCAACAAGAACGATGTCTAAAGAAATGCTTAAATGTACTAAAATTTGTATTGGCCTTTTCTTGTTAGTGTATCTGTAGAGATACATCAATTTTTTTTTTCTAAACACTTTGGGTCATCAAGGTTAAGTGCTATGAACATTATTTTGATATTCGAAAAAATAAAATTCTGCCAAGTTAAGGGTTAAATTGTTTTTTTTTTTTTAAATGTTGTTTACGTTCTAAACTTTATAGAATAAACTGTGTCCATTTTCCGTACATTTCATCGCTGGCGGTGTTAACAAACTTTTGTACATACAACATAAAAATTCTCAAATACTCGTACGAAAACCGAAATAACTTTTCGTCTAAAAGCGACGACTTTTTATTCCATATTGCGTTGTAAAATTTTAGTTTCAGTAGATGAGATATTTTACGTTTATAAATATTAAATTACTTGAAATTTTAGAGCGGATGCACACCTCTGACTAAACTATCGCACAATTGTTGTACGATTAATGATTGTCAATTGTTTCGTAGCCCATTCAACAGTTTAGTTGTACAACTAAAATAGAGTAGTATGCGCACCTCCCTATAAGTTCATAGGAATCAAAGCAAGACTAAACAGTTGTGCGATATTTTAGTTTTAGGTGTGTGCAGGCTCTGAATGTTAGAAATCTTGTCAGAAAACTTCCCGCGCACCTGAGCCCTTACCATTGAGATAACGTATGGATAAAATAAGAAAACTGATACTTAATATTCGTTAATTAATAAGATAAAAGTTTGTTCAGATTATTTGCTAGTTTCACACCTTAAGCTAATCATGATCGAGATAAGTATTACGTAAAGTAAACCTGTCATACATGAAGTTAAATAGGAGTTTTAGTTAGGAGACAAAATTCGTTTACTTTTTTGGTCGCAATAGCTCACTGGCAATATATTGCTAGAGCATTGTTGCAGGCACTTTGAACATGTGCGATCATAGGTAATTTGACTTGTAATTTTAAGAGGCTGTACAAAGCGACTCATTAATTAAACAATTGTATAGGATTTAATAATTTTTCGTCCTTTGCAGTATTCCTGCAAATAAAAAAAATATACTAAAATTATTCTTTACATAAAGTACAGAACTACAAAGGCTGTCAAATGGTCCTGTAAAATGTCTCAACAATAAAAGGCATCTTATATAAAAGTTTCAGAAAGTCTAAGATTTACTTAACTCTACATAATAGTCAGCTAAGCGACAATATACATAACGCTAGGCTAGAAAGGCCTCGTTTTAATGACAACAGCCGAGGCTTATTTTACCTCGCTTCGTATCTTTATTTGTATCGTTCAATCTGTCAGGCTTACGCTGTGGGGACTCTTTTAAGTTCCATGTTGTTTTGTTACGTCCGATTAACCCACATTGTGATCGCGGTACGAGGTCCTGACGTCACGATACGTCCTCGATTTTTCTATCAGGCGAGGGGCGTCGGGTCAGATCGGCTCCCGCCGGATCGCAAATGTTACGCGCATGCGTTGAATTTGCGCCAATTTCACCAGCGGCGGCCTCTGCTGGTGCATCCAGTTCTCTGTCGCCCCTAACGAGGGATGGTGTGTCGCACAACCGTATACGCGAACCACGTCAGTAATTCGAATATGGAATAGTTTGAAGATGTAGTAACGCACACATATGCAAAACGCTTTCCCATGTTGATTTAACGTCAGCAGGGATCGTAGTGCGCGTGTTTAAGTTTCATGCTGGTGGGATACACTTGAAGTATTAAGGGATTATTTTGAAGAAATTTGAAAGAAATAAGTGTCGCCGTATAGGCTATGTTGCAGTGCTTGCCGCGGTCTCATTATGCCAGTGCCAGGGTAACCTTGACACGTTTTCCCGCGCTAGCGTACCAACCTTGTTTCCGTTTTGCACTCTTTCACTTGACATTTACCGCAAACATTGTGGCTACTTCGTTAATTAGTGACGTTTTAAAACACCTACGCAATTAAATACGCGTAGTCTGAATAAAAAGAGAGATTAGAACTTCGCAGTTAGAGAAAAATGTTAGAAAATAGATTTAGCTGTAGTTTATTTACGTTATAAATAATTAATTACCATAATACAAAAATGAGAAATTGGTGACACCTATGAAGAAGACTGGAGCTACAACGATGAGTTCTATAAAAGGTGAGGAAATGAATAAATCTGCTCTATTTCAGTTCTAATAATTGAGTCGCGCAATCTAATTACACCTGACGTCGTTTAGATATAAGCAAACTTTTTAATTGGTACTTTTACTGCTGGTTTCCAGTGTTCTACTTTAAACAAAGCATCTGTTACGTGTCCAGTTTTAAAAACAATAATTCAAAAGTTGGTCATAACGATTGTATTCATTGTTTATTCAGCGCCGTAAGGCCTTGATGAGAGAGTTCTATTAAAATGCTGCAATTATTTGTGGCGTAAAAGATCTATTGTTCAAAAAAATCTTTTGTCTTTGACGCCTATGTAATATTTGGGATTCGTAGAAATCTTTTGTACTCAAGGAGTACCTTCATTGGGAATTGTTATTAAAAATCTACAATTAATGTAGACGTCTTACCATTTCATAAAGTTTTCGGAATTAGGATAGAAAATTCTAGATTTAGGCAAAGGATTTTTATAGTAAACCCTTTGAAGGGTAAACCGCGGACCTGATGTGTATTTTTAATGATCTTGCACATGTGACTAATATTATAAATGCGTATGCTTTAATGGACGGATAGATTAGATATTAAAGGGTATATTCAAAATGGTGAAACGGATCTAGTTGAAATTTGGCATAGACAAGAACGTTACTTATTTTTTTAATATGGGGACGAAGTCGACGACAAACCTTGTATGAAATGGGCAAATAACTAGGATAAGAAATAAGTACCAGCCATTAACAAAAAAAGAGAAGACGCACTAAAAATTGAACCACATAAAACGGAAAAAGCTTCTTCGTCGAAGGTTAAGATGGATGGAAGAGTAAAAGGCTTTAGACTTAACTAGGATCATAAAAAAAGAATGTAATAAAGTATTATTTAACAAATATGCTAAGTACGAGATCTCAGTCTACGATTTTGACATGGTCTGACATATCTCTAACATCTTTCTTCGATGCTGCATGTTCGTCGATTGCAGATTTTTATCTTTGGCCTAAATTTGTCTACGCTCTTCGGGTTCATTTAATATTGATTTTTTTTCAAACATTCTATCCAGGTTATTTAAAATTTCTGAAGAATGTCTTCTTTCTATCTACAGTGAACTTAACGAAGCTATCAAAATGTTTTCACACTTTTTCTAACAAGGGAAGTATGCTGCAATATTTTTAAGGATCATGTTACATATATTTTTTCTTCACTAAGATGTCTTTTCCTTTTGTATTTATCTTTCTTCTTCCATTGTTGTCTTTTGATCTTTATTACTTTATGCAGTTTGATGTGAGGTCAGACGTCGTGCTCATCGTCTGGGTTCTTGAACTCTGTGTAGCCTCACCTTGCCTAACCTTTGCACAAAATGTAACTGAATATTTTCATACAACCACCGCGCTCCAGACAGTTCAACTATTTAAATAAAATATTTCATGCATATTTTAGTTAAAAGTAAAATAGCAGTCTGTTAGTGCATCGACATAATTAACTTTGCCTATTGTTGTCACCATGTCTGTTGCAACTCATTATACCATCACTTGTAATGCCATGATTGTAATGCCATTTTGTGCAAGGCTTCATCGAAAATTTTAGCAGTCATAACCACATTGTTCTTTTTAATTAAAATTAAATTCAACCATTTCAAATTCGACTATGAAATTGTCATAAATTTTCATCTCATTTAAATTAGTTCGATAATCTTAAAACTTTATCGTTCTGTTCAAAATGTAAATGAATTTTCGAAGTGAGGCTGAAATTAAATTGTGTCTTTTGTTTCTTATTACGCAAGGCGTTCTTTTGATGAAAATACTGAATTTAAAGTATTTCTGAACAAAACGTTAATGAAAAAAATAACAAAAAAGGTTTCGTTGTACAAATATTAAAATTAAACATAAGAAAAACGTTAACCTGTCAATCGGATAAAATCAAAGACTTCAAAGATAATGAATAAAATCCTTCAAGTGTTAGTAACGAAAAGTATTCAAGAGCTCTCAATAGCGAAGTTAATGTAGCAAAAGTTAACGTACAAGCCATCAATGCTCTAACGTGCAATGAACTGAAATTAGTACGATAACGGCTAAATGAAATTGAAATCAGGCATAGTTTGCTTTTCTAGCATGGGTTTATCAAACTAATATGGTTTTCCATTAACGATGTTTAATAATCAACTGTAAAGGCTCTGCCGGAGTTTCATCACAATCTTAATGTTAGTGGTTAATCATAAAAATTACTTACTTCTTGATAATTCAAAAATCTTATATCGGCAGTTGCTTTTTAAATTATCTAAGATATAAGGCTTTTAGAATATGGATATAAGATCATCATCACCAGCTCCCTATACGGCCTCACCCAGGGGCTCAGAGCTTACTCTAATTTAGGATATAAGGTACTTTACATTTATAATTTCGTTTTATGCTGGCCTTAAATTTAATAAACGACTTTGAGAAATGGACGTTTCATCAATCTCAATAGTTACCATCGTGAAATGAAACTCTTTGACAATTTATTACGAAGACTTGAAGGCTTATCACGAAAATTAATATGTACGTTTTCGTAAAATCATCGACAAAGTTTCTATAAAATTTGTGTAACGGTAACCACCTACATAGCGTAAAATAGAACAAATAACTTATGTATAACGTTACGAAGATGTTCACACAACTATCACGTGAACATTCGTGATAGACCCTGTAATGATACATCTGCAAAGACTGAGCTCTCCAATTTATTACAAAGTTCCCTTAAAGCAATTAGAAAATGTCTTTAGAAGTTTTGAAGCGTCATTGTTATATTTTCCAACTTAAGTAATGAAAGTACTCGTAATTTTTGTTTTTGATAACTTAATTTTCCTTTATAATTTTAATGGTGACCTTCAACAAGATTGTTATAATAACAACGAGTCCTTAGAAGGGGACACTGATAATCATGACCTTTAATCTTCGATCAACAATATTTGCTCGAAGCCTTTAACATTTGAATTTTCTAGTCATGTGATGTTGGTAACATTGAGTCATCACAGTGATTTTGAAAGACCTTAATAAAGATGATAAAATAAATGGAACTTAACTTTAACTGGTAGTCATTGAAAATTTTAAATCGTTCTCATTTGCTCTCGATGAGAAGTGGAAATCTTCACTATAAAAGCTCGCAAGTTTATGAGCTTTTTAATTAGTCAATATATCTTAAACGGTACTTACTCTTTGGAAGAAACATATAGTAACTTGTTAAAATATATGCGATCCAAACGATTGGCTTGACATAGGTGTAGTATAAAATTATGGAATGCCATTATTGTTTTCTTAATATGAAATTAACCTAAATCTGACATCGTAATGCTTGCGTTGTCCGACCCATCATAATGTCACCCTTAATAATAAATTCATGAAAACACGCAGTGAACCATGTTGCAAAGAGGAGTGGCTAATGACGCGTATACTGTGTTCTTGATTAAAAAGTTTTTTTAATTTTCAATTTTTCATGTATAATTTTTTCTGAGTTAAAAATCAATCTCCATCATCATCAATTTGCTCTTGTCCCTACGGAGGGTCGGCAAAGAATGTGCTGCTCTTCCATACATTTCTATCAGCCGTCATATCTGAAGCCACTGCCTTCTTAAGCATATCCTCTTTCACACAATCCATCCATATTTCTCCGGTCTTCTTTTGTAGCCATCTACATCCAATCATAACGCTTTTTGGTTTATATCCCTATTATCTCATCGCATAAAAAAATCTCGAGCTATTCGATTTTATAACACTTATATCAAGTTGGTTTTTCAGTTACCTTAACATCGTTACTTGTCTAAGTAAAGATGTAGCATACTTGAATGTTCTACGCCAAAGTTTGTAACCGAAAGCTAAAGTGCTTTATAAATTACAACGCCCTAGAGGCCTTCTAAATATATCACGAAGGATTTAAGTGAATTTACTTTGAATTATACACAAACTGTTGAATGTCATGATGGTGAAATAGGTCCAAAGAGATTTGCTACCGTACACCCAATGAATAGAGAGCTTATTGTTTTTTATTTTGTCAATTTATAAAGTGTCATGTATATTGCAGTGTCCTTTTAAATTTTAATTCAAAGGTACATTTATGTATTTTTACATTATTTTTAATCTACATATGAAGCATTATAAAACAATGAACCAAATAAAAATGTCATCAAAGTGATAAGAAATTAGACGTAGGTAAAGTTCGAATATTAATTTTCATATTTTGCAAAAATAAAAAGAAACGCTTCCAACGTGTGTTTTAATTTAAAAAGTTTATAAAAACCTCTTCCCTAAAAAGAGCGTAAAAAGTTTCATTTGTAAAATAAAACGATGTACGGCGTTGGAATTTTTGCGTGGCATTGACCTAGATATCTAGGCTGGGGATATTTGCTTTGTGTACCGCTCGCTGGAATGTCTACCTTCGTAATAAATTCATGAATACTTGCACGGAATGTTGATAACAAAGCTGACTGACGTTACTCCATTGAGGGATTTAATGATATCAACACTATAAGGAAACTGTAGGAGCTAAAACAGATACAGTTCCGATGTCTATTAGACTAATCTAATACATATCAAGGGCTGAAAAAGAGACAACGATGTCTTTAAAGACATGTAGAAAGTTATTAGGTTCAAATCTATTTCTTCTAAAATGTTTACAATACTGATACTGGTAAAGAAACATCGAAAATTTTAAAATGCATGGAAAAAGGAAAATGATTTACACATTTCATGTAAATTATTGTGACTAATGTAGGTAGATTTTTATATTATATCGTTAGATGATTTATAATAAATCAGTCCCAAACCAACCGCGGTTTCATTACCAACTGTACATTACAAAATAGTTATTGACAATGCAAATTCAATTGTCTCGAACAGTGATTGAGTTTGTGTTCCATATGTCGACCTTCAATTTACTCTCAAGGTTAGTTAGCAATTATTACATCGGCCCCCTTTATCATAACACTGGATGCAACTACAACTGCAATCTTGGATATCCGGCAAAAATCGTCAAATATTTTTTCTATAGATGAAAGCGGAAAACTAACCAATATAACCTCGATTTGTTAAGTTAAAAGGAAAAAGAGCAAGGATTTAAAGTGCAACAGATGCTATTGCCACTCTGGCTAATATTTTTAAATATTCGTAGTGCAGACCACCTCTTGAAATTAATATTTCGCAAGAAGTTTGTAAAAATGTATTTTATAAATAGCAAATAGCTAAAAAACAATTGCTCCTTAAACCAACCATGAGGCAGTAAAATGAAAATTCTTAGGAGTTTATTTATTGAATAGCAACAATGGCCAATGTTTCCATGCAATGCTGCAAGCTATGTAGGGCAACCGGCTGCGCGCAATAACGCAGCGGCAGTCGTTGTTTTTCACAGTTGGAAGCGTTCGAAAATGCGGAATCAATCAGGACGGCAACATTTATCTATCATTACTACAGCTAGGAAATGAAAAATAAATAAAACATTTTACCACCGGAAAGAATTTGTGTAATTATTTAAATGTTTCAAATATTTTAGTCGTATTTTTAGTGTCAGTTGCATATTACTTGAAATATTAGTATTTATGAAGTATCTTCCATGCATATAGAATGTAGATTCGGGGCATAAAATTGTTTTAAAAATAAGATTCATTAGGGCAAAATGGGCCAAATCCTTACTGTACACTTTAGACGTTCTTTGCTTCTTTCTTCTGACTGTAGTTAAGTTAATGTTCTAGATCTATGTTTTTCTCTATTTTTTGATTTCGTACTATTGTTGTATTTTATTGATATCTGCACATCACTTTTATCTGTCAGTATTTATATTCTTCATTTTTACGATAAGTAAAGGAATAAAACAAGCTGTTGCTTTATTTGTCATAAAAAGTACAGTACTGAGGGAAAATATCGTCGTCTTCCCATAAAAAGTATAGTGTCTCTTTACGATCTCGCTGTAGAAACAAGTTGATCAATGTTTGTCTTCTGAATAGTATGGTGTGAACTGTGAGGAAGTAAATAAAATTCTTTATTATATTTTTCCAAGCATTTTTTAAACGGAGGTTATAAGTTTTGTTGAAGTTTCGCAAAAACTGTAGAGCTCTCGTTTGAATTTAACACGTTGGTTCAAATTGAAAGCCATTACACAAATTGGATGCTAATTTGAGGAGTTTTCTAGCGGCTGCAACTTGTGTGTGTAAAATAGAAGTGAAATACACGAGAGATTAATTTAATGTGGTTTCGCAAACGTTTTCCTCACCTCCGGTGATAAAATATATTACCGATTATTTCCAAAAATATCCTAACTTCACGCACCAAGGCCCTAAAAAATATAGACTTTAGCAAATTGGCGACAAAAAAAATAATTTCTGTTCTGATTGTCTATTTTGGAGGTATTAAAATTACAAGCCAAAAAGTCTTCAATGGTATTGATACGGTAATATCAAATAGGCTTTATGAAATAAGATTAATGGGCGTTCTCAGCATAACTTTGTAAAGCTCGCAACCGAGAGACGAAGCGAGGTATGAATATTTTTTCAAAGAAATTTCGAGGATAAATTTTCAAATCTATCTCACGGCGTTTATAGGGCTTTGATGAGTTATTTCATCCAACGTTTGCATTTTTTTTGCCTTTGGGTTTCATATATATTATGGAGTTGCTAATGCCGTCTGCACAGGAACCTCATTTTTAGCTTGACTGACTGACTGACAACTGCCTCATAAAATGGTCTTTTGCTCGCAGTATTTTAAAAAGGCTTAGTGTTTTTAAGAAAGAAAAATGTTATGCTCTTTTGAGAGCATTCTTCCTTCAGCTATTTGTTAAAAGGTGGCAAACATAAGCCGACCTGTTACCTGGATGCTAGAAAATAAATGTAACGGAAATCCTAAATTGTGAGATGGGTTGCAAGGCGTTAGATACGTTCATTGTTTTTATCCGAATTCATTATTTTCTTGTGAAATGTAGTATATACTTTAAAATGTATTAACATGTTGAATCATTTGTTTCAGGTTCCAGTGATAATGGATTGAGAATCGGTCTTTTAATATTCACGCTAATCAAATTCACCGATTGCGATTTCGTGAGTGAAGCTCCGAAAAGCGTGTATCAGAGAGACAAACCGTATGTGAGTAATGAAATTCCGGAGCCGGAGTCACTGCCAGTTCTGCATGGGAACGATTCTCGGTGCCGCATATCTGAATATCATTGTGCGAACAAAAAATGCATACCTATAAATCGATTCTGCGACGGTACAAACGATTGCGGTGATTCCTCTGACGAGCCAAGACATTGCACACGTAAGTTATTTAATGCACTACACTACTTCTTACTACAGCGTCGGTGGCTCAGTGGTTTGAACACTTGACTTGTAATCTACAGGTCTTGGGTTTGAATCCCGCCATGTACCAATATGATTTTCGATTTTTGAATTTTTATACGTACATAATTTACCCGACGTTCTTACGGTGAAGGAAAACATCGTAATGCAACCTGCACATATCGGCGAAGAAATTCAAAGATATGTGTGAAGTCAACCAACCCGCACTTGGCCAGCGTGGTTGACTATGGCCTAGTCACCCCTTATTAGGGTAGGCTCCGAGCCCCTCGGTAGGGACGTTTAGTGAGCTGGTGATGATGATGATGAAGACTACTTACTTTGTAAGCTATCAAGGTGTAAAATATTTCATCGTATATGTCTTACTATTTTAAACTAAGGACATCTAGCTATTTACTTATGTTTGTTAGTTTGCTTGTAATTAGTGTGTATCATAAACTACTGAAGGTATCTCGATGAAATTTGACAAAGACGTAGAGGATAGTCTGGAAGAATACATAGGCTATTCACTTTTGTTTTTTTTTTAATTCCGCGTAAGGAGTCGCTTCTCTCAATCGCCAAAATCTAAATCTTGTGTTGTTTTAAAGTCCGATTCTAGTAAAAACTTTATAACTAAATTCCAAACAAAAGACGAAAACAAAAATGCAATTCAATGCAGTGACTAGATCATTCAACATTCTGTTCAAAATTTCGTTTACTTTTCAAACTCGATGGTGTGGTAGGTCTTTGTATCTGTTTTCGCTGAGGCTTGCTTTATAACTACCACATACTGAGTCAGCTCAAATTGAAATGAAAAGCAAACACTAGGGGCCGAGCAATTTGCTTGTCTACCTCGATACTGTTTGACTTTCGCACCATTGAATGCGGAACGTATTCCTCTATTAGTATTTTAGTATTCTAGTTCTACTCTTTTACGCTGAGTATTCACGTTTGTAAAATTTTTATCTTTATTATGTGTTGAGCCGTGTTTAAAAGCTTGAAATTTCAAATCTTTACCGATAATATTATTGTGAAAAGTACTTATTTGATTAAAAAATATGTTTAACGGAACCAGTGCATCGGTAAAAATTAAAGAATGTAATTTATCTTAGAAGCTACACTTTTTACAACATCTCGAAACTGTTTTTTTTAAAGCAAAAATCTTATACCGAGATATGACTTCCTTTGAAGAGATAGGAAAAGTAATTGCAATTGGGAATAAGGGAGCATAGAGATAGAACCACAATTCTCTCCCGCTTTTTTTAAAAGCGAATTCAACTCAATTTATTTTGTTAATTACATTATAAGTCGTCACGTCTTTTGATCTAATTGGGCCAGAGGGAGTCTCAAATTGAGTGTCTTTCAACCTTTTCTAATTATTGTCAATTAACTGTTGAAGTTACGAGAAACTTAAAAAGCGTAAATTATAAATTTCTAGCATATAACGACGAAAAGATCTTTAAAAGTGTCTGAAACTAACATTATTCCTGCATACTTTTTGCAAGTACATTATAGAAAACACTGTATTTAACACGTTATCATAACTGGGACAAGTCTACTCAAATGGATATCGATCCATCGACACATGACGAAATGCTGCTTCAGTATGCTAATTTGCAAAGCCTCCTTATCCACGTTATTCATGTGTCTGTCTCTTGAATATTTTAGTGATGTATTTTCATAGCGTAGAGCATCAATTAACGATTTGAAATATTGATGAGTGGATCACTCCAAATACAATGTAATCATTTTTCTCCTTACTGTTTTTCATACCCTACCAACCTAAAATAAACTTTTATAGTTACATAATCTCTTAGAATAAAATTTGTTTTACATGGAAATCGTTGATCATTTTTTATCATCCTGAGTACATATACACTGGTATTGAAAACTCACGTTTTATTTCCAATATAAAAATCTATTTGCACCAAATATCGAGTGTTCAGTAAATAAGACAGTTTATAACATGGTGCATAAAATATTAGCGATGTCGCGACAGGAGCGTCTAGACGATTGCGCTCCATATTTACACTTGAAGACGATATTAAAGTGCATGCAATTTTCCAGAACTTGACATGAAATGTAATCACATTTTGTCTACTTACACCGGGCTCGCTATAACATTTATCTCAATGTTTATGACGACGTATCATATAGTTATTCTTATTTTATCATAGCTTGGGGATTAAACAAAAAGTTCTCTATGGTAAGAGTTTGGCATACAATCTGATACGGTATTATTCTTTCTATGAGCCACATTGCGTAATCCAATAGTTTTATTTGGCAGTACGATAGGCCTATAATGTAACAAAATCATAGAAATCATCTTGTCTATTTACTCTGTCAACAACAGGTCGAGTTAACAAGGTTTATAATCTTATTAGATATTTAATCTGTTCGTACTTATCTGCTTCGACTTAGGGTCGGCACAAACTCGGCCACTCTCAACAGTAGCACTTTAAAGGTTTCGCATTTTGTTAAACGAAACCTCTCGAGATCTGACACTTCCTGTGAACTAATAATTCGTTTCATTAAGAATTTTATATCCTCCTTCTAGCTCGTTAACGTAATAATTTTAAATTTACATTTAAGTTTAATTTAAATGTACAGTTTGATTGAATATTAACGATTAAATTAATGAAAGTAAATTTAATCAAGCTGACAAAATAATATTTAGAATGTAATAATTGTTTTTACTTAGTTATAATTAAGGAACACGTTCTCATTAAAAGAAATCACATAAAAACTATGCTATGAAGAGCAATAAAAGTTCTACAATATTTTTTCCCCAAGGAGATCAGTCTCTTTTTATAAGAAGATCGAAAGGATTAAACCTTCTAAGATCATATAGTTAATATCTGTTAACAGAGTGAATATACTGGAAGTAATTGTATCTTAACATTGTAATGGCCTTTGCAATACCTCACTAGCGATTTCATCCATCGTTACGAGCAGTCGTAAAGCGGCCTTTAGCTGCTATCTCGCTTCAGAAACGAAAGGAGAAACTTTATTTTTATAGCGCATTTCAGTCTATTAAAGCTTCCTAAGTCTATATTGTACAACATTACATTTATTTGTAGTATCCCGGCTAGTTACACAAGTATTTATTATTACATTAAGAAAAACTGTATTTTATTGGAAAAGTTAGTCATATTTGGGATTCGTAAAATAAAGACCCTTTAAATCTTTAGTCAATAAAACGCCGCAATCTGTTCGAAGTTTGATTTCTATTTATCTTCATAATTTAATACCTCAAAAGGTTAAAAAATGACGTTAACCTGAGTCAGTAATTGAATTAGGGCAGGACACGCGACCGAGTGAGTCGTAGTTCGATCCTTCGTCAGTTTCCGAGCGGACGCGGTTACACAATCGGATTACTCTCGCGGATTTGAGCACGTGACCCCGATAGTCGGTCCACGTTAACCGATGCGGACGACGCGATTTTATTTAATGTACATTATTATAAAGGAGATATTACTTTAAAAAATATCACAAGACAATCACTTACACCTCACAAGAGGCTCTCATATTCTCCTAACTAAACATATGTTACCGTTGCTTCGTTATATACTGGTTTTATTGTAACTAAGCGCAGTAAACAACGGACGACCTTGCATTTATTTTTTTTAATATCTCTTATTCGTTTATTTTCACTATCGGAATGTGGCATAAAAGATTGCACATTTGCTAATTTTACAAACAGCATATTCACTACAATAACAGTACTACAGCGCTGTGTTTTAAAATGGAATAAATTTAAATAAAAGTGCGCCACCAACACTTCTCTCAGCTTCTCTGTGTCAATGCTAATTTATTACGCCCGTATCACTACAATTTATGAGCACAGTTTGCTGCAGTGTTGTGTTAAAAGTGAATTAATACTCAAAAAGGTGTTACTGAAATGTTTGCATGTTAAAAAAAATGGTATTTGAAATATATTGCCAAACTATAAAGAGATTTTTTTTTATCTCACTCATGTAACAAGGAGAAGGTTAGTTATGTGTGTGGAAGGGTACACCGGAAGAGACAGACCTACAAAGAGATAATAAATAAATAAATAAATAAATAAATAAATTCATTTATTTAACAAAAAGTGGTTACAGAAAATTGACCCAGGGTCCTCGCACTAGGCACAGCCTGTGTCGCGGAGACCCAGCTCTGTGAATTAAATATAACACTAGTTGTACATCATTAGCCGCAACATATCTAGCTATAATTACAACGTAAACTAACTTAACAAATGTAGTAAAAAAAAAGAGTAAAACATGCAAAATTGCGAAAAATTATAGTATAACAAATCAATGCTTATTAATTCTTATATCAACAACCACGACTTCAATTTTAGTTTAGCAGTATAAAGGGAATCTTTTTCAATGTCACATTTATTCAAAATTCTGTTATATATGGATAGATGGATTGCGTGAAAGGTGACATGATCTAGAAGGGAGTGATGACTGAGATGACGTATGATAGAGTTATGTGAAGGAAAAAAACCTGTTGCGCTGACTCTACGGCAGTTGGATAAGGAGAAAGATGATGATCTATACAAAAAATATTTGTTAAAATTTCTTGTTAGCTGATTTCTCTAGCTTAGAATATTTAATGTATTTAGAGAAAACAAAGTAAACATTGATCTTTTCCCTTGCGATTTACGTCGCCGGTAACTGCGCTGCGTAGGCTGCTATAAAGCTGCCAAGATAAGACAGATGGCGGCTGGAACCGTAAAACTGGTTATCGAGCTTTTTATGTTCTACGGCAACGTGTTTGATTATCAAAATAAAACTTTTGTCACACAATTTAAATAAGCTTTCATACGTAACCCAATCTATGTAAATTAGTTGGTCGAGATCATGCAATCGGTGTTTAGCACAGTTTTTATATTACAAGCTGATAAATGAGCCAGCTTGTAATATAAAAAATTAATGTCTATAGACAACCGCAATTTCAAGTTTATTGTCTACTGTTAATCGTCGGAGGAGGAGATGCACATAAAAATGATATTTACCTCCTTTGCCGTCAAATCCACTAATAGTGGATATAGTCAGTGACTAATAATTTTGATGTTGTCTTTATTTAAATCTTGGTAAATCCTAGGTCAAATATACTCGTAGTGCAAAAAAAACAAAAAAACAAAATGCACTAAAAACAAAACAAAATATTCTCAAAAAAAACAGTGCACTAAAAAGTAACGAAATAATTACTTGAAAA